GTTTAACAGAACAAATATCACATCATCCACCAGTTTCAGCTTTTTGTTATCATAGTGAAGATAAAGGAATAACTGCTTGTGGAGTAGATCAACTTTCAGCAAGATTTACCAGAACTTGTAAGAAAATTTTGAAAATTAGATTTCTTTTTTTTCTTTTAATTTTTAAATGATAAAATTTTATATACATTAGCTGTAAAAATTGGACCAGGTGAACAAAATAAAGGAATTTACATTAATCTGAGTGAAAGAAGAAATGAAGAATATTTATTAACTCATTCTGTCGCCAGTGTGCAAGATTGGTTAAAAGCTCCACTATATGTAGTTGTTGCTGGAAGCTGCATTGTAACTTGTCCAAAGACAAAATTGAAAGCAGTATTAGAATATAAAGAAGAGGTAAATATAATATGATTATTTATTTATATAGTATTTATATGTACATAATGTCTCTGTAGACTATAAATAATTAATTGATTAAAAATAATTACTTTTTTTTTTAAAAAAAAGCAATGGCTTGGAAAACCAAATTTGTCATAGAAGGCAAGATATTTAAATATGATCTGAAGAATGATGATAAAAAAAATTGAAGATGGTTAATGAAAATGATGTTGTGGACAAGTCCATGCAACAAGACCAGATACAAATGTAAATAATTATTTAATTGTATTTATTTTGTTATTTTTAAAAAAAATTTTTTATATGAATATTATTAATATGTTTGTATATGATTAGGAAACAAAATTACTTTTAGATATGGAAAGGATATTCCCAATTCCAAAAAAAAGTCAAACCAATTTCAAAACAAAGACCACTTGAATCATGTAATGTTTGGAAACCTGTCACAACAGTTTTATTTCAAAAAGACTATACAAAGGCTACAAAAGAGAAACAAATAATAGAAGAAAGGCAAAGACAAAAGGTTGCAGAATATAAATCTAATAAAGAATTCAATGCTGCTTATTTTAAATTACCAATTATTGATGGTAAACCTCATTTAAATGATGCAGGACATTCAGCAATAAAACAAGAACATCAATTCATATTTTAAATTAATTTTATATATAGTACAATTACATACATTATTATATTATTATATTAATATTATATTACCTAATTATTATAGATTATCATATTATTATTTGTATTTATTTGTATTTTAAAAATGTTTAGAGGTGAGGTAAATTAAATTAAAATTAAAATTAATCCAACAAATAGTAGTACTAATAATGAGACACATCTTGATGTATACCAATTGATAATAAATGTGTAGATGGAACTAATGGGTATTGTTTGAAATTAATTGTGGTATACTCAATTGATTATAAAATATCTGAATGTATATAGTGAGTATTTTCCATAGCAACCAATTGAAGGTCCATGATAGTGAACTTCAAACATAAATCTCATGATATAAACAAAAAGACTTGTTCCAAGATTAGTTTTTCTTTGATTGGATGCTGCCAAATTTCCATCAAGATAAAACCAAGCAGGTGGCATAATGATCAAGTTTATTATCAATGAATAATCAATGAGGAAACATATTGAATAAAATTCAAGAGGAAGACACCCCAGAAAAAGCCAATGCTTCTTTCACCAAGAGGTCATACCCAGTGGATAATGTTTGGTTAAATTTTTCCAACATTTAACCTTTTTTCAAATAAATTTTTATTTAATAAACTAGATTAATTCGTGATCCATGAAACATTTGCAAAATTTTCATAATTTTCATAACAGAACAAAAAAGTCATTCGTGACAAATTTCATACTTGTTCCTTCATTCGTTACAACTAATATTGTCTGAAACATAGCCAATGGTAGTAACTGAAAAAGTATCTTGTGGTATTTTTTCAAATTTGATATCAAGTAAACATGCTTTAATGATGGTTAACTAAAATTATTATATAATTGTTAAAAAATAATTAATTAATTAGCATTTAGTATTAAAATATTATTAATGAATTCAAAAATTACAAAATTACATAAATGATCCCATTCTCAATATAAAATTTGGAACCTGCCACAAAGAAAATCTCATCTCCGTTGATAATTTCTGGAACATATTTAGTGTATTCTTCAGAAATTGGCTGAAAGATTATCCCCTAAACGGTTAATTGGCTATTGATAGCCGATAAAATTTTTCTGATATTAAAAATTTTTTCTGAGGGCATCACTTTCTAATACGAAAATGATCTTTGAGATTCAGTCGATTAATCCATAAATAAAAATCCAGTTGTTGTCATTATTATGGTTTTTGTAAAATCTTTAAAAGTTGGTCGATTGACTGTTTTTACTTTGCTGATCGTTAAATTGACCAATAAGAATGATCAAAACCTTAATTTGTGTTACCATTAAAATATACTCTGACCGTTTAAGCATAGTGGAAGTTTGTTGTTACACGAAATTTCATACAGAACTCATTGCTCCTGAAACTTCACCAGTATATAGTTGTTATCTCTTTAAATTGGAGATCAAGTTCAGATCCAATTCAAATCCAGTTTATCACTTACTTTTTATTGCCAGAATGTTTGCCATGTATTGTAAAGCTACGTTGCACAATATAAAAAATTCGTGTAACATTTCAAATTTCCACTATGCTCATTAAGAGAGATTGTGTCTTTTATTTATGATGGGTGATCCTTGATTGGTTATATATTTTGCCGATAATAATAAATAATACACAAAAGGGAAATCAGCCGCGGATTGTTATATATTTCACAAGGTTAATATTAATTTATGCAGGAGACCGACCGATATAAATAAATAAATAATTATTAATTCTTAATATTAATTTTTTTTGATTAGCTGGAGGTGGAAAGGGTAAAATATGGAAAAGAAAAAATTAGAATCAGGGTTGATATCTTCTTCGCATTAAATATTTTTATTATTATTTATCATCTATATTGTACTACTTATCATTATCGATCGACTTTAAACTTACTGTTTTGAACTTGCATGCATATCTTTCATACGTATAACTAATTAGGTAAGTCACGTGTGACTTTAGGTTTTGTTTTTTTACGGTTATGTATAAATAATAATAATTCAAATATAATGGTGACTCTTTTTATTTACTAAATTTTATTCTTTGCATATTACATATTACACGAAAAAATTAATTTCGTATCTAACAAAGGGAATAAGAATATTTATTTGGTCATGAGGTCATTATATTTGTTTATATTACCATTTATTTATTATGAGTATATAAAAAGGAATAAAGTAGATTGGAATGAAAAAATATTTTATTTTTTTAAAAATAAAATATTTCTTCTGTACGCTTAGTTCTTCATTCTTTGAGTTCTTTTTTTAGTTGTCCGTCCTAAACAATTATAAAATTTTTTTAAAAAGTCAGATAGATAAATCTATCATGAAAATCATTATAGCATATTTTATTTTTTTTGCCCTAGTTATTAATGTAAATACATTACCAACTGATAGAAATCATACTACACACAATCCATTTCGTCCAAATTTTGGACCAGAATTAGTTCATCGTAAATATTTTTCCCCATCAATAAAAGAATTTGGACATATATTTAGGTCTCAATTTCACTCTGGTGATCCAAAAGAGATAGCAATTAATTTTGTTGAAGAATTGCATCCGCATTCTAATTTTATAATAAAGAATATTTATCGATCGGAGCATACTAATGTTACTCATGTATATTTCAAACAAGTCATAAATGGTATAACAGTTACTAATGGCGATTTAAATATAAACATCGACAAGCATGGATCAATCATCAGTACTGGAGATTCTTTTGCTTTACCTAAGTTCCGTCGTCCTCTTTCCAACCACAAATGTGCCTCAAAGACACAAAAAGATAATAAAATTGATATTAATATTAATATTAATGGTGATGATGTTTTTGATAGTGATCTAACTTTGGGTATTAACAACAAACAACAATCTATCTTATTTTCATCGAAAGATAAAAGAAAAGCAAAGAAAAGATCAATGGTTAGGGGGAATGCTGAACTTTATAATATCAATTTTGATCCAAACCCCATCATCTCACCCTACGAGGCTCTAACATCTTTTGCAAGTCTATTAAACTTGCAAGCACCTGAATATGATGAATTGACAATTTCAACTACAAATTGGTTGAACGACGAACCTACATTATTAATATCAAATGTATCTTTTGCCTTGTCTGATGTGGTTGTCAAGCAATCCTATCTTCAGCTAGATACTGATCATCAACTACAATTAATCTGGGAATTACAGATTGAAATGGAAAATAACTGGTACCATGCTCATATCGATGCATATTATGGCAATCTATTGTCTTTGATAGATTGGGTGTCAGATGCTACTTATAATGTATTCCCATTAGGCCTAAATGATCCTTCCGAGGGAAGTCGAAAATTAGTAACTGATCCTAACGATGTTATTTCTTCTCCCTATGGGTGGCATTCTCAGGGCCCAAGAAAAAATTTTACTACCACCATCGGAAATAATGTTTATGCTCACGAAAATTTCAATGGTGAATGGGATTGGGGTATATATTATGATAATTAAATATAATTTGTTTAAAGCAATTTAAATTTAAATTAAAAATTATAATTTTATTTATATTTTACAGAGGATAATTATCGTCCAGATGGTGGCAATGATTTATTATTTGATTATCCACTTAATTTGTCAAATACTCCTAAATCTTATATCGATTCTGCTGTTTCCAATTTATTTTATTTGAATAATATGGTAAGGATTTTTACTGATGAAGATAAAAGTCAATAATATCATTATCATCATTAACAATAATTCTATTTAATTCTTAGATTCATGATCTATTTTATAGATATGGATTTAATGAAGTTGCCGGAAATTTCCAAGAAAATAATTATGGCAAAGGCGGCAAAGATCATGATGCTGTCATTGCTAATGCTCAAGATGGATCTGGGTAACTTAATCTTTTTATTGTTAATTAAAATTTTCTTTCAAATTAGCCCTTCCCCTTAATATAATATAATGATCTTTGTTCGTTTATAATTTTAGATACAATAATGCAAATTTTGCCACGCCTCCTGATGGTCAACATGGTAAAATGCGTATGTATGTTTGGGATGTGGTCGATCCACTTAGAGATGGTGATTTAGAAGCCGGTATCGTTGTAAGTTATTTAAACAATTTTCCATACTTGCACTTATCATGATATTTATTTATTGTCATTAATATTAAAAATTTTTTTTTTTTAAATTAGATTCATGAATATTCTCATGGTATATCAACCAGATTAACAGGCGGACCAGCAAATAGTGGTTGTTTAGGATGGGGCGAAGCCGGTGGTATGGGTGAAGGTTGGGGTGACTTTTTTGCGACTATATTACGTATGAAAGAAGAATATAATCGTAGCGTAGAATTTGGAATGGGTGAATGGGCAAATGGTGGTGAGGGTATTAGGGCTTATCCTGTAAGTAATTTATTTAATTGAAGTTAATTCTTTTTTTTTTTTGAAATTTTGTTATTATTGCCATCATCATCATTATCATAATCATAATAACATAATATATATATATATATCTTATCATTAGTACTCAACCTCTCTTAAAACCAATCCTGAAACATTTGGTTACTTGGACAAACCAGGATATTGGGGTGTCCATGCTAAAGGGTAGATACATCAACATTATACGTCAAAACTATAATTTATTTATGCACGCATGCTCATACTAACACTCGCACTCGTTAATTCACATTTTTAATGATTAATTAGTGCTGTATGGGCTGGAATTTTATATGAAGTTTATTGGAATCTTGTTGACAAACTTGGGTTCACATCATCCTGGTTTCCACCAACAGATGAAGAAGATTATAGTTGGTATGATAGATCGATAATTGACGGATTCAATACAAATAAAATTCCAAAACATGGAAACACATTATTTTTACAATTAGTGGTTGATGGTATGAAACTTCAACCATGTAGACCAACTTTTATCAATGCAAGAGATGCAATCTTGCAAGCTGATGAAATCTTAACTGGTGGTGAAAATAAGTGCGAAATCTGGAAAGGATTCGCTAAACGTGGTTTGGGTGTCAAGGCTAAACTTGTTGGCGGTCCTGACTGGGGTGGTGTCAGAAAAGAAAATTTTGATGTTCCTACTTCTTGTTCTCACATCTGTTAAATAAATTAAAACATTATAAAATAGTATGATGACAACGGCTAATTAAATATTTAATTTCTCTTGTTTTAAATAAATATTATAAACTTTTTTCGTTTCATGAATGTTTTCTCAAAATCAGTCGCCTTAATCGAAATCGTATTAATTCGTATTAATATTAATAAATCAAGAAATGATTCTTAACAAAAAATCACATGATATATCAACATCCAGTTAGCGCTCGATATAAGGGAGAGTTAGTTTTGACACTGTTTACTATTACTGTATTCATTATATAAAAAAGATTGGCAAAAGTTTGCTTTATTTTGATCAGTGAATAAAAGGAACTTTTGAGCTTTGTAAAGAGCCGTCTCTATTTGTTTGTTTACGGTTATCTGGTATCATTAAATGTGTGCTTACAGATTCGCATACAAGAAAGGGACAGTAAGTGAGAACCAATGTAAATTCATAAATTTATTAATGACAAGTATCAAAGTATTGTGTATTGCTTGTAATTAATTGACAAGAGTAGCCCAAAAGTTAAGCCATAATCAAAAGGCTACCTTGCAATATCCATTTAACAAGAATCAAAATATTCTTATTACATATTATAATTTAGAAATAAAAATAAAATAAAATAAAATAATTATTGTGAATAAATTTATAATGGAGATTAAATTGGTCACTCTCTTTTAGAATCTAATGTAAATAATTGTTAGCAATAATTAATGGATAGATAATAATTTTCAATTAATTAATAATAAGATTTTTATTCACCTTCAGCATTAAAGAGAAGAGAGTTAAAGCCAAGAGTATCTAATGGACTGTCATTACTTGTATAATTTTTAAAGCTTCTAAATTTAGCAATCTCTTCATCTAATATTCTACTTGTATAATATGCATCTGGATGCGATTTATGTGCTTGTTGTGAATTACTACTGCCACTACCACTGTTGCTGCTGCTGCTGCCATCATCATTAAAATCAATTTCTTTTAATTTATTAAAAGAAAAACTCACAAGCTCTAGAATAGTTGGTCTTTTAGATGGGTTCACATCCCAACATCTCTGCATCATTTGCACATAATCATCAGGCATTCCAGGTAATATTAGTGGTCTTAAACCTTCTTCACATATATCAAAAATTAAATGATGATTGTGAGCCCTATCATCAAATGGTGGATGACCTGCAAATATTTCCCACATTAACATCCCAACACTATAGATATCAGATTCTTTTGTGTTCTTTGCATTGATTTTGCCTCTAAGTAGCTCAGGTGCAACATATGATACAATTCCATAGATTTTATTTGATGACTTTTCATTAACTGGTCCACATAATCCCAAATCTGTAATATAACAACCACCCCCTGCCATAAGCATATTACCACTATGTATATCACAATGGATTAAATCTTTTTCATGTATAATAAATAATGCAATACATAAATGACTAAAGATTTTAATTCTGTCTTTTAATGTTAAATTTAAATGATTATTTCGCAAATAATCCCTTAAATTTCCTTCTGGATGGTAAATTAAAACTATTGCATAATTTCCATTATCTGGGAATTTGGTTATACCATTGCAGGCAACAACCAATTGTGATTTAACTTTACAATGATTTATTGCCTGAAATTGAATATAGAATCAATTGGTATCTATTATATAATACAGTATGGTTTATTTTTGTTTTAAACAATAACTACCAACCTCATCAAAAAAGGCTTTTCCTGGATTACTTGAATCATTTAAATTTTTTAATACTACATTCAATCTTCCAAAATAGCTAAATTCCTTATTATTTTCATTGTAATCAAGTATTCTTCCTCTTGTCCATGTAGCAGTATAAATTGAACTAAATCCACCTTCAGTTAACTTTGTTATATCATCAAATTGCTCAAAAGGTATCCATTCCAGAACATAGGTTGGCAAAGATGATTTCATTTGACATTGTTGAATAAAATTATCAATTATGTTATTTCCAGATGTCCAGGTGGTGAAAAGACTCTGTAATTGTAACTTAATACAACCTTCACAGAATCTATCAGAGTATCTTGTCAATTTACACTTGTTACATTCTTTTGGTTTTCCCTTTTTATTTTTTGCATTATTTAATTCAAAATTATAAATAAACTTTTCTTTACAACATTCTTTTTCATTTTCATAAAGCTCCTTGTTTTTTTTGACTAATAAAAGAAAATAATCTTTTATACTTTTTTCATTAGAATTAACTGCTGCATTATTGAACATTTCATTATAAATTCCAAGTGTAAATTCCCTTCTTTCTGGAGATATTGATAATAATGAATTAACATATGACATTATATAAAATATAAAATTGACTTGATGTTTTTAATGAATAAAGTGGAGAAAATGAGAATTTTGAGTATAGTAATAACAATAACAGTTACATTGTTTCCTTTTTTTTTGCGGGGGACTGAATAACGTGTAACAAACAATTCTCTTTAAAACAGTTTGTTTATAATTATCCCATCGAATAAAAATTATTTAAAGAACAAATTTAAAATTCATCGTGATTCTTGATGCATTCTTTTTCTTTGTTTAATAGACTTCACTATAGAGAGCTTACATTAAAAATCATTATATCGAGCAAATTTATTGTTATATATAATCAGATTGAGGAAAATCTTCAACTCCCTTATATTGTACGATTCACCATATAGTTGGCGAGCGTCGATCGTAGTAAATATTATTCCTTATAAATCTCTAAATTACGCATGAATTCACCAACAATCTCATTTGATTTAATAAAAATGCAAATTTCGTTTCCTTCATATTCTAAAGTGCATCTTAATTGTTTACATTCAATTGGACTTTCACCATTATGATTGCTATAATTACCAACAAACTCATATCGGAACAAATACCATGATATTCTGAAAAAGATTTCTTTTGTGGAGACCTTGAAGTTTCAACATCAATTAAGGCTGATCTTTTAATTGAAAAAGTAGTTGAAGTTTCATTATTTGAATTACTTAATCCATCATCATCAATTATTATTTGTTGATTTGTATTATTGTTGTCATAATTACTATTACTATTATTGACAATACGAGGTATTGAATGCGAAGCATGCAAACCAGAATGACGTTCTTTGATTTTAGTTAATCTATTAACATGACTATTGACATGATGCATGCAATACAGTAAGAACTCGTTAAACGTTTTCTCAAAAAAAAATTTTTTTCGGTTTAAAAGTCTTAATAAATCGGGTTATAGAGATAAATTTAATATGTAGATAATAAAACAAATTGGTTCATCGTATATGTTCGTTTTATCAAAGCATCGCCTTAATGAGTCCTAACTGTAACCGGTTTATTGTTATGTTGGAGTTGAAACTTATTCAGAGTTTAAAATATACGTTCTTTTATTTCTATTATTATTAAATAACTTTCAAATTCTAAATTTTATTGTTTCATTCATAAAATGCCAAAAGCAACACGAGCAAGTAAATATTTGCTGTGAAGCTTTTATTGTCGAGTTCTAAAACTGTTTATTTCAAAATTCTTATCTGTTATACTATAGAAACAAATATCACCCAACTTTGACACATCATTTCTTCCTACTGATAAGATATCCAAGAAATCGGCAGGATCAAGATTTTAACCAACTATCAAAAAAATCATCATGATGGAATTCCAATTAGATTTATTAATGAATTATATATAGTAATTATAGATGATAAAAATGTTAAAACAATATATATAAATGTTGGATATAAAAAACTAATAAAATAATAAATAATAATAAATGATGATAAAAGGCATGGTGATAGGTCACTTCAATCAGGTTAAATTACAAGG